AGTACGAGCCGTGAGACGAGCCGGCCGGCCCGACGAGTCGGTGCGGTTGGTGGTTGGGATTTTGGAGGGAAGCAATGAGTTGGTTGGAATAATTTGGAGGGAAACATTGTTCTGGTTTGAATAATATGGAGGGAAGCAATGTTTCGGTTTGAATAATCTGGAGGGAAGCAACAGATAGGGACAAGGGTATTTTGGAAAAAAAAATTAATAAATAATTTAATAAATAATTTAATAAAAATTAATAAAAAATTAGTTTTAACAAGCAAGTACGAGCAAAAAATTAAAAAAATAATTTAATCAAAAATAAAAAAAATATTTTAATAAAAATTAATAAAAAATTATTTAATAAATTCTTTTTCACAGGCAAGCAACAATTATGAGCCGTGAGTCGAGGCGGCCGGACGGAGACGGCGGTGCGCTTGGTGGTTGGGATTTTGGAGGGAAGCAATGTGTTGGTTGGAATAATTTGGAGGGAAACATTGTTATGGTTTGAGTAATCTGGAGGGAAACAATGTTTCGGTTTGAATAATCTGGAGGGAAGCAACGGATAGGGACAGGGGTATTTTGGACAAATTTGGCAGTCTGTGTTATGCTTCCACACTGCATTCTGGACGTACAAAATTCTCTCCTAGAGCTCGAAAGGCTGCTTTCCTTGGATACCGAGATGGAACTAAAGGTTTTCTTTTATATGACCTTACCTCTCACACTTTATTTGTCTCCCGTCATGTAATCTTCTATGAAGATTACTTCCCTTTTAAAAATCAGCATACAGAAGCTACCTACCCATACATTATCCATCTGATTTACAATATTTTCCTGACTTTGACCCCTACCATACCTGCACCATACCTATTATACCAGATATTATACCTACCCTGCCCAACCCTACTACACCTACTGCTCCTCTTTCTCCCTTATCCGTGACTGACCCTGCCCCATTACCTACTACTGACTTTGACCACGACATTGCTGATAGCCCTGCTCCATTACCTGTTGCTTCTGCACACATCCCTCCTCGCCGCTCTTCTCGTCTTCGAACTGCTCCTAGTTACCTCATGGACTATCACTATGGCCTATCCGTTGCACAGCAGGATCAGTCTTCTACAGGTATTACTTTTCCTTCTCACAATGTTGTTTCTCATCCTTTATTCAATGTTTTAACTTATGACTCATGTTGTCCTTCATATAAGGGTTTTTGTCTTAGTTCCATTGTTCACACTGAACCCCATACTTACTCTCAAGCTGTTAAGCATGATCACTGGCGTAAGGCAATGGACAGTGAGCTTTCTGCTTTATCTAGCAATGACACTTGGTCTGTGGTTCGTCTTCCCGTTGGCAAGCAACCCATTGGGTCCAAATGAGTTTTCAAAATCAAGTATCATTCCGATGGCACCATAGAGCATTATAAAGCTCGACTGGTTGCCAAAGGCTTTAACCAAATCGAGGGAGTTGATCATTTTGACACATTTTCCCCAATTGCAAAGATGACTTCTGTCCGGGTTCTACTTGCTGTTGCTGCTTTAAAACATTGGCACCTTGAGCAACTCGACGTTAACAACGCCTTCTTACACGGTGATCTCAACGAAGACTTTTACATGGTTCCACCTCAAAGCCTTCCAGTTTCTGATTCCTCTCTTGTTTGCAAGCTCAAGAAGTCTTAGTATAGGCTTAAGCAAGCCAGCCGCCAATGGTATGCTAAGCTTTCTTCAACCCTCGTTTCTATTGGTTACAAACAGGCCCAGGAAGACCACTTGATGTTCACATATGCTACCCCTGTCTCTTTCACGGTGCTGTTGGTGTATGTAGATGACTTTATTCTCTCTGGAGACAACATGTTTGAGATTGAGCGTGTCAAAGAGTTCCTTGATCGTCAGATCCGGATTAAGGATCTTGGTAGTCTTCGATTCTTCCTTGGCCTCGAGGTGGCTTGTTCCACAGCTGGTATCACTCTTAACCAGCGCAAGTATGCTCTCGAATTACTCTCTGATGCTGGTTTACTTGCCGCTAAATCGCAGTCCTCCCCTATGGATTCTTCGGTTAATCTTGCAAGAACTCAAGGGACTCTTCTTCCTGATGCATCTTCCTATCGACGTCTCATTGGCCATTTGTTGTACCTCACTACCACACGTCCTGATATATCCTTTGTTGTACAACAGCTCTCTCAGTTCGTGTCTCAGCACTATCTTGCGAGTTGCAGTGGCTGCAATATCTTTTCCAGGATCTCCATCTTCCTTGGGAGAAGCCAACCTCCATCTTCTGTGATAAGCAGTCTGCTATTCACCTCGCCCACAACCCAACCTTTCGCGAGCGATCCAAACATATCGAGTTGGATTGTCATGTAACTCTTGAGAAAATTGCGTCTGGACTTGTGCATTTGCTGCCTGTTTCTTCTTCGACCCAGTTGGCTGACATTTTCACTAAGCCTTTACCCACTCCTGGCTTCTTGTCTATGTTATCCAAGCTGGGTCTCGTTGATCTCCTGCGCCCATCTTGTGGAGGGTAATACAGAAGCAGACCCCTAATCCAGTTCATGCAACTGTTCCACGTGCCAGCTCATTACATTCAGCTTCCTTAGTGCATATGCATCCCACTAATCACAACAGAACTGAAACTAACTCTGTTAAAGTAGATTTAGTTAGTTAGCTTTTCACTCTTTTCTATTAGACTTAACTTAGCTAGTGATTATTTGTGTATACTTTACTTACCTATATATATTGGTAGGTGTTGTACAGTCTCATAACTTGAATATATCATTTTTTAGTTTTATTAAAAATGTGCAAGCTTTTGCTTTCTGTTATGGTATCAGAGCGTTCGAAATCTCACTGCCTCCCACTTTCTTTGTAGTGGAATTTCCACATGTAGGTGGACTTGTATGTTGTCCACCCTTCAAGCCCAGTGGGCTCTCGTGTGAGGGGGCGTGTTGAGAAATATAGTCCCACATTGGTTGTATGGGCAACTAATGTGAGGTTTATAAGGCCTTAGGCACTCCCACCTTTTCAGCTAGCTTTTGGGGTGGTGTATCCCCAGGTTCTTAACACTCTTCCTCCTCCTCGATCCTTCCACTTCGCCATCGGCAGCTTTGCTAGGAAGACACTTTCAATCGCACATATCTAAAAATAGCAATTTCAAAATTACAAACTATCTAAAAATTGCAATTTCAAAATTTTTAGTCATAATCATCTTAATTTTGTAATCACAAATAGCACATATCTGAAAATTGCAATTTCAAAATTCTTAGTCATAAACATCTTAATTTTGTAATCTACTTACCAAGCCAAGTAAAATAGTAATTGATACAATGCTGATAACTTGTACTGGATAATTTTCTCATAAATAATGTCAATAACTAAAAATGACTAACCCATCCAGCTCAATTTGCAAAATTTCAATTTAGGAGGGTAAAATTAAAAAAAAAATAGTTATCAATTAGAAACACAAAACCCTCCTCATATTGAAAAGGATTAACAAAATTACAATAAAAAAACATACATAGTTTGTTTCTTGGACCAAGGTCCTCTATAATTACGAAATAAATAAATAAATAAATTCAAAATAATAATAGTATAAGTATGACCCTTCCCTTTTCCTCCTAAAAATGAAAGATTGCATTCAGAAAATGAGGCCGAAACTGAAGATTAAATTGAAAATCAAGCCGAAACCTACCACATGTACATCGTCGAAGCCGAAGAGGATCGATACACCGACCAATAAGATTTTGTTATTACATCCCTTTTGCCACATGTAAATGAATTGAAGAGTTTTCCTATTGGGTTCCTTATATATGTTATAGGATTTCGTTAGTTAAAGAATATTGTTCATTAGATTATATTTTCCAAGTAAGATCTTCTATATTGAAGGTTTATGGAGCATGTGCAAATTGAACTATAGTATGCGGGACAAAACATCAGAGGAAACTATAGTATGCGGGGTAAAACATCAGAGGAAGTTGAAATTTTTGGGTTCCATTTTGTGGCCACATTCAAGTGACAAATCACCCTAAAATGTTTGAAAAGACCTTGAGATTACCTCTAATCACGAAGTCAAAGTTTTTAAGATTGTGATAAAATTGCTCCATTTTTTAAGATTTTTACCATTTTTTAAAAAAAACTTATTAATCAAAAAAATAAAACAAACAAACAAATTTTAAATAAAAAATATTAGGTAAAGGTACTTCATAAAAAGAATCTCTCCAACTTAGAGAAATTTTTATATAAATTTAGTCTACACAAACTATATAGATTAAGGGGTTATCATTTCTACTTCAACGATAGAAATTTTTTTTCTACCACTAAGACATAAAAAGAAATAAGCTTCGTTATTATTTTCTCTCTCATTCCTCTATGCTTTTTTTTTTCTATCACTGAGACAAAAAAAGAAATACGCCCCGTTATTATTTTCTCTCTCATTCCTTTATGCTTTCTTTCTCATTACTTTATATCTAAGTGGGAAAAACTTCTTTTCTACGACCGAAGCAAAAATGATAATTTCATAGATTATCATTTTAAATTTACACGTCATCATTTTAATTGTAAAGTAGTTATTTGAAACAAAAACACTTATATAATCAGGTTCGATTTCTAAGAGTTACAATTCCTAAAGAGGGTAAAGAGGTTCAAACCCGAAACCAGATTAATGGGGTCCAATAAGGCTTCGAACACCGATTGGTAATTATAAAAAAAAGAAACTTATATAATTAGTCTATATAAGAATTGTGAGTAAATTTTATCCCTAAGAAATATATTTTTTGGAGAAAAATACTTTTTATTTTACGGCAGACATTTCCCCCAAAAACATTTGGAACAGTGTTCAATTAAAATGAACAAAAAAAGTAATAAGAGTAAACACTTTATAAGTTGAAAGGTTAAAGAAGTATCAATTGGAAGTTTCCAAATAATAGTATAAACAGGAGAAAATATATGGGTGTGTGTACTCTGGAGGCTGTGAATTGTGAATTTGTCATGAATAAAAGTCTGCCAGTACGTATAAATCAAAACTTGATATTAGAAAGAAGGGAGCCCTGCAATTTTTCTAAATTTCTCATAGGAAACCCAGAAGACAAATTGCCATGGGCCAAGCCTTGCCCATGTAGGGAAGAATCCTTTCCACAGTGCTCTTATATATCTTATTCCTTCAACTTTAACTGTCTTTACCAAGCAATCATAAGAGCTACTATATAAGAATTGACTTTCCATTTTAGCTGCTTGATTCATCATTCTAGTCTTCACTACATCAGCTGGACAACTTAAAGAAGTTGCCGCAAGACCTGACATGATGGAAGCTAATGTGTGGGCATAAACATTATCCTCAGCTATCCTATTTTTAATAACAAATTGTTTAGCATGATCATAACAGGCTAATTCTCCCATGCTCACTAAGAAGGCTCTTTGGATATTAAGAAAAACACCCTTCCACAGTCCTTTAAATCCTTCAGCTTGAACTATTTTGTCCTGAATAGAATACCTAGGTTGATGAACTTGGCTCACCATACGGCTATCTGCTTGCATCCTCTCCTCACCTTGATAAGATCAGCTGGGCTTGCTATGACCTGTACTACTAATTAAGAGTAAATAATAGAATATTGTAATTTCCAAGAAAAATATAATTAAAAGTGAGCAGTTAATTGAAACCTTACGGCTACATACATGGATTATATATTCCCAAAAGAAATTCCAGGTTACTGACTTACTATTTGTTGGATATTATACCATCGTAAAATTGCATTTTATCATAAAGCTAAGCAAATATTTCTTCGACATTTATTATCTAATGGCTATTTTTTCATCTAATTAATGAAACCATCAATCTATTCTCCAGCACAACACAGGGTGCGAAAATTTGAAACATTCTCTATTAGTTCAGTACATGAATCTCTACAATTTGGTAAAAGGTTGTTAGATGCCCGAGTTCTTTGGTTAAGATGGACTCTGATATTTGTGGATTTGTTACTTGTAACAAGCTTAAAGCTTAGTAAACTTAAGCTTAAGGGGGAGTGTATACTGTATCATGACAAAGGCAAACCAGAAAGACATGCTAAGTCCCCTCCTTTAAGTTGAATCACCTAGACCAGAACCAAGACAAGACAAATGTTATGTATAGGACTGATTAGTCTCCTAGATGAGCCCTATTAGCTTAACCCTTCTAAAAACTAAGATAAACATTAGTTTAAAGAAAAAAGAAAAAAGAAACCATGCTATACCTGATACCAAATCAATCAATTGCATAAAACTAAGAACTGATGTTCAAAGACCACATAATCTTTACTATGTTCATAAAATCTTGGAGATGGTGTTCTTGGAAAGCATAAAACTCTGTTCTTGAACCTCTCAACAATAGAATCTAAGGCTATAACTTCTCTATTTTTCACTCCAGAATCCCTCTTAGAACTCTTATCCTTAAATTACAACCCTGATGCTCAACATTTTCAATTGAAAAATCACTCCTCGTTAAACCCCAACTAGCGAGGATAGCGATGAGGACAAGTAAATTTCATCTTTTATATTGTGTTCAAGAGTAATTATTCAAAAAATATTTTGTAAAGAAGGGTAATGCATTACATCGAATAACAAAAGTCGAAATAACACTAAATTTAATCTTTTATATTTTTTTTCCTTAATAAACCAAAGAAAAAAATACATGGTTGTTTTACTTTTTTGTTGTTGTAAAAGGTGAGAAAATAATATTAATTTTTTTACAGAAATATACTAAAAATAAAAAAATTCAAATTATATTAGTTTCTAATCTATATTAATGGGACTATGGGAGTAAGTAACTGCCACATGATGACACCCTAACAGTCCCGCTAGGGGTAGTGAGACTATGGGAGTAAGTAACTTCCACATCCGCTAGGGATAGTGAGACCGAGGCTCTTACAAGAGTGGCCCAAATTTTTCCCTTCCACTTTTATGATTTCACTGTAATTAATAACTAACTATTAAAATTATAAATAAACAATTATTATTATTATCTTCATAATAACTTTAATTTAATTTTATTAAAATTAAATAATAATTAACACGATAAATATTTTTTATTTATTTATAATAATATTTTTAAATTTTTACGTATTTAAAATTGCCAAATCTATCGTCAATTATACCTGTTTCATGACTGGTTTTTATTTTAATATTGTATCTATTTGTTTGAAATATTTGATATTATTTAAGTTGGATAAGTTATATCATATATAATGGAAACAAAATTAATTTAATGCTTTTTAATAAAATAATTATGCATTTATTACAGTTTTGAGAATAATTACGGATCTATGCACAATGTGATGCCTCTTTTAGGCGTCACATGTGACGCCCCATTGAGGCGTCTCACCCTAAGAGGAGACGCCCTATTGAGGCGTCTCACCCTAAGGGGAGACGCCCAAATAGGGCGTCACTCATCAGTCATCAGGTGTTGACACGTGTCATGTTTTTTTTCTAAAAAAAAATTAATTTAATCATAAAACTTCTGAAGGCCATAACTTTTGACTTGGGTATCCAAATCAGGTAATTCTTTTTTTGATTCCACATAACTTTTCGAGATCTACGCAATGACATCTAATTTAATATATTTTATTTCTCACAAACATAATTTAAATCAGGTAATCCTTCTTCCTTAGAGATTTAGAATATTTATTTAATTATTGCCTTTATTAATACATATTTTTTAAATTGATTTTTGAGTTTAAATCACAAATCGAATCCTTATTTTGTTTTCCTTATTAATAATAATTGTTACTTTTAATTTAAATCAGAAACCAAATTTTTTTATAATAAAAATAAAAATTTATTTTTTTAATTTAAATCACACATCAAATCTTTATTTTTTTTATATTAAATCACAAACGCAGAACTCATAGGCTTCTAAGCTTAAAAATGTGACACATTTCAACACCTGACACGTCACCAATCACGTCTAAATTGGGTTTCAATCAAGAGGCAATCACGCCTAATTTAGGTTATAGCATTAATCATTAATTTCAATTTCAAAAATAATATCCTTCCTCCTTAGAGATTTAGAATATTTATTTAATTATTTTCTTTATTTTTACAGATTTTTCAAATTGTTTTTTTAGTTTAAATCACAAATCAAATCTTTATTTTGTTTTCCTTATTAATAATAATTTTTATTATAATTTAAATCACAAACCAAATTTTTGTTATAATAATTTTTTTATTATAAAAATTCATTTTTATAATATCTTTCCATCCTTGTAATTAAACATTATTATATGTTGATATCGGAAATCATCATATGGAAAAATCATGCTTGTATATGGAGTAACATTTGATATATCTTGTAGAAAAATCATAATGACAATCAATTTTAATATAAAAGATTTTCCTAAAGATTATAATGATTCGTGAATAATTATGGTGTTTAAGTAATTATAAATATTGTATTATATTACTCACGTAGTTATATTTCTCTCTGGTCTCTAGGATTAAAACCCTAATTTGCAGTGTGTGCACTTTTTATTTTATTTTTATCAAGAGTGGCTGTTTCTTCTCGGAGTGTGATTGAATAATCAAATGGCGACGGATGAGAAAGAGAAGCCGTGTGCAGCAGCAGGGTTGGGAACCAGAGGAAAGTTCCACAAAAGCCCCTTCGCAGGAACCAAACGACGACGCCGTATGAACGTCCGCCGACGTCCCTGAGAAACCCTAACAGGAACAATGGTTGGTTGTCGAAGCTGGTTGATCCTGTCCACAGACTCATCACTTATAACGCTCACTCTCTCTTCTGCTCTCTTTTCCGCAAGCGACTTCCTCCCCTTCCCCCTCCCTCTTCTTCAGGTTAGTTAGTGTGCTTTTTGTTTTAAATAATTTTCTTAATCTTTTCAACATGAGGAGTGTTTTGTGTTTCTAATTGATAGCTCTCTTTTTTAATTTTTTTTTTTTTACCCTCCTAAATTGAGATTTTGTAAATTGGGTTGGGTGGGTTAGTCGTTTCTAGTTAGTGGCATTATTCTTAGGGTTTTTATGAGAAAATTATTCAGTACAAGTTTCAGTTATCAGCATCTTTGATAAGCATCATTTTTTAAAAGCAGTTAAGTTAGGAGATAGATGAGATGGATTATATTATTATTATTATTATTATTATTAATATCATCATCATCTTGCATTTTGAACTAATTGAATTTTTGTGCCCAAATTTTTCTTTCATTTTGTGACCCTCTGATATTAATTGTCTGTTGCTATTCCTTGCTTTAAGAAGTCTTGTATTCAACATACAATTATTCTTTACATGCTGATAGGTTAGAAATAGCTGTCCGGTTGGTCTTTCTAGGGAGTATTAATAAAGTCCCACTAATCTCCCACGATAAAGGTATTATTTTGTAAAATATTAGTAGATAGACAAGGAAGAAATGAGTAAAATATTTCACTGCACTAATTTGTAGATAAGAAGTCTATGGTTGGCCATAGTAATTTTTATGTTTTACTTGTGGAGGTAGGCCTATAGTTCGTTGTAGGTTTAAGCATGTTAAATTCTGTACCTATTTTTTTCTCCCTATTTTATGTTTGTGCTCCTGGTTACAGCAGTTGACTTTTTGGTTTGTAACTTTTCTATGATTTCCTTTTTGTTTTTTGTCTTTTTAATGTTATCTGTTTTTCTTCACTGATATGAAATTTAATCGCTTGATTCCATGATTTCTTTATTAACATACATTGTATGGATATATTATTATTATTATTTGCTTTTTATTTTTTGGTACAGAAAGGGAACATGAAGCTAGGCTCAATCATCATGAAGAAGCTACCTTTGTAAGTATGCATACTCTCTGTTTGTTATAAATTATAACACCGTTTACACCTCTTGATTAAGAATTCATTTTTGGGGTGTAATGTCCATGTGTTTGATTTTATGATAAATTGTGTTTCATTTTTATATTTCGTCCTGGCGACAAAAATATTTTTAGCCATTCTTAGTTTGACCACAATTTTTAATATTACATTAAATATACTTTACTCTATGTTTTTGCTTTAAGAAGTCAAATTGATATTTTTGCCTCTAATATTTTATTTTTTTACTATTCCTACCTCTGTATCTGTTGAATTATTGTTGGAGTTAAGGATTTTAAGTGTCATAATATGTCTCTCATAGCTTGTTTATATTGCATTCCAAAGTGAGCTTAGTCAGGATGACCGATCAACTAGGGCCCTCTTTAAGGGTTCTTGTGGGATGTTCTCCAAATTGTGTTTGACCGTAGTTCTACCTTGGACAGAGGTTTAGAAGCATGTGCTTGAGGTCAATAGACGTCATTTATAGGCTAGAACTTGTGAACTTGTCACCTGAAAACAATTGTTCAAGCCTGGATCGAATCACATGGTGGTTAAGTAAGATGCTTGTCAACAACATCAACAACACCTTTAACTCAAATTAATTGGGGTCGGTGGTAGATGAACTCAATAATAAATAAGAGGAGATTAAAAAATAAAATAAATAAATAAATACTAAAATAAGATATAAATAAATAATAAAATAAGATAAAAATAAAAATAAAATAAAATAAATAAAAATAAATAAATAAATAAATACTAAAATAAAAATAAAAATAAAAAATTGGGGAAGGGAGAAATAAGATAAAAGACAAAAAAGGGAAAAGAAAGAGGGGAGATTGAAGAGGAAAAGGACTAAAAAGGGACCATCTGGAACATAGGAATAAGAACGGGTTTAACCTTCCACCCTGCTTATAGCTTTTCTCCATTCCGTCCTAAGACACACCGTCCGCCAATCTATATCTCACTCCATTAAGTCTTGTTTATCCCTAGGTAAGTTTCGGTCTACCTCTACCTCTCTTTGTGTCGAACTCTTGGTAACAAACTTTTGTTCTTACAGGAGCATCCAGGAGCCGTCTCATTACGTACCCAAATCATCTCAATCTATGTTCCCTCATCTTTTCAGTTACCAGTACTAATTCTACCTTTCGTCGAATATCTTCATTTCGTCGAATAGCTTATTCAAGTAAAACACACATTTCATCATAAGGAGTTAATTTTTCTTGACTTGTCTTAGTTGTGCTACATAGGTAGTATTGTGGTAACGCTCGATTACTTGCAGGATTTATGACTGCCCCCATAAACCAACACGAGACTTGTCAGTGTTCTTTGTTCTCACTCACACATTTCCTAAGAAACTTCTCAGGACGTCACCTATCTTAGAATTGTTCCAAGTCAAGCACGCTTAACTATGGAGTTCTTAAGTTATGGGCTACCAAAAAGTAGATGCATCTTGTTAGTATTGGTAGTACATATTAAATCCCTTAAGCCATCCCCATACCTGCACAGCCTCTGGATCCCTCTCGTTCGGGTATTGATTCGACTCATTTATGTACCCTCTAGTTGGAGGCCTGTCAGAAGCTGCTCCTTGTCCGTGCCTCATCTCTTTTGTACCGGCGATCACTGCCAGCCCTAGTTAGCCCTTGGGATTTTACAAGTCTAGTGTGTTGAATGTAAGAACCCGCACCGTTAATTAAGGTATTTAATTAATTAATTATGCAAAATTAGGAAATGATTCCATAATTGACCCTAATAATTATTTATGAGGCTTAATAATCGCAATAAGTGATTAAGAATGCTGAAAGTCGCTTTTCGGATGAAAAGTGCAGATACCGGTTCTGCTAGTCGGTATAAATGTGTGCCGAAAAAGTATCACGGAAAATTAATGTAAGTGCATGATAATTAATAGAATAATATGTAGGACTTGTAAAACGAGTTTCAAGTCCAGATAATGAGAACTGGTGCTGGAAACCGGTACTGGCTCTGAAAAGCGCGTACCGGAAAGTTGCTCAGAAAATTATAAGAAAAATATGATAATTCTTAGAATATTATTTAGTTTCAGAATTCAAAGTTTGGGATTAAAATGCTAAGCGTAGCAATTAAAGTTAATACTGTGTGTTTAAGTGGCTTCGGCTATAAATACCCTTTGTAAGGGCACAAAACCTAGAAATCAGTTTCTCTACGTGAGTGTGTGAGGGTGGCTGACTTGTGGGGTTTCTCCTCCATTTTGGGTCCAAGACACTTCCTTTCTTGATTTTCTTCACACTTTCACTTGGGATACACTTGGTGAGGGTGAGAGCTAGCCTTGGGACTCTATTGCTGGTCTTTTCTGAGTTGAGAGAGCTGTTGTGTGTGAGGTTTTGAGGCTGACTTGGGTTGGTTGTGTGTGGAAGCCTTTGTTTTGGCATTGTGAGGTCCAAGAAGCTTCCTTTGTGTTGAAAGGTCCAAGCTTGTTGATCCATTTTCGTGCACCTTGTTGAGTCAGTCTTGAGGGGCTGATTGTGAGCTCCAAAGAGCAGCCTCTTCTTCTGTTTTGGCCTTTGGTATGTATACCAACCTTTAATCATGAGTTTAATGCTTAAAAATGGTAGCTTGATGCATGTTAAGGTTAAAAGATGATAACTTGTTGTTGGGAGAGGCTTAACACATCTAGAAATGCATGATTAGGTGTTTAAAATCGGTAAAAAGGGAACCTTTGAAGGATATCTTCACGAAAATGCAGAAACTGCATTCTGTCGTGAGATATCCGGATATCTGTCGAACTGATATCCAGATATTGGATATCCGGATACGTGGTTTTGGGATATCCAGATATTGGATATCCGGATATGTGAATCTGTATATTTGGATATGCATATCCGGATATGGACAATGAGATATCCGGATATTCTGGGATTTCGCAGAACAGTAGCTGTGCTGTGCATACAGTAGGCTATTGGGGGGTTTGTAGACCCTAGATTGATGAAGTTGAACTTCTGTTTTTAATGGATTAAGCCAGAATCATGGGATTTAGGGCTTGTGGCTTTGTTAGAAGCTTTAAGACTTGAAAACGTAATGAAAATGCGTTGTCTTAATATTGTATGCTTGTGGTGCATGTTGTTGATGTATTGTTGGTCCATAACAGATTGTGAATCTGCTGTGTTTGGACTTTGAGCTGTGGACTCTTGGCTTTTGGAGTTAGCTTGCAAGGTAAGCTTTCGTGTCCTCGGTTTAGCCATGTTGTGGTTCCACCATGTCCCATGGGGGTATGGTTTATGCATGCTGTGTACATGCTTTTGAATAATTGATATGTTGATTGAACTTTACATGTAATGACTTTTAATATGCATGTGTTGTTTCATCTTGACGGGAAGCCTGAGTATGTAGCGCCATACAAGACGGTGTACCGGGGTGAATGCAAGTGGTACTTGCACGGTGTGTAGGTGATAGACGTATACCTGCACTGTCTCTGGCCAGTAGATTAGTATTGACACACATGACATGATTATCTGCTGCATTGCATTGTTTTAGAAATGATAAATGATAAACTGCTTTTGAACTTATATTGCACATGTAAGTGAGCTTGGGGTGGAAGATCCTTGAGGACTCACTGACTTACTGAGATTTCTAGATTAGAGATCTTACCCCACGTTTGGGGAATGCTTATTTCAGGATCAGGTAGTATGGGTACTGATGCCTCAGGCGGCAGGAGGCCGGAGCTTAGCTGATTATGTTTTACTGCTTTATGTTAGCATGACTGGATTTGGGATGCTGTTTATGTTTTCCGCTATTTATGATATGTTGCTGTTGAGACTGATGTTGGGCATGTTGCCTTATTTGAGTGAGCATGGGGATTGCCCATGACACTTTCTGTTAGTACTTGTAGTTTGGAGTTGTATAAACTGTTAGATGGTCCGGTCTACATTGTTGTAGTTCCGTGACTAGAGCCACAATTATATTATCTATGTTATGAGGTATTTCAGTTAGCTGTTTTATTGCAATTACATACAGTCGATGTTTTATTAATTGATTATTAAGTAAGTTGGTAATGTTAATGGCATCGTAATTGAAAAGAAAAAGTAATTCCGCATTTTTAATTAAGCGCAGCTTAATACGATATTATGATAACATTACCGGATATATATGGGGTGTTACATTTATGGTATCAGAGCAATGGTTCGAGGGAAAAGCTTGTATGTATTGCAATTGCTAGGTTGTTTGGTTGTGTCTGTCTTTGTGTTACTCCGTCGAATTTTATTATGATGATGTATATGTGATCACATTGCGTGGGCCTGATCAACTCATAATTTGTGTAACTTATGCAGAGTCATGGTAAGGTCCGGGAGAACACGAGAGACTTCTGAGGATCAATCTGATCCTATCCTGACTGCATTGGCTGAGATGCAGGCGGCTAGGTTAGCCAATCAGGAGGCCGCTAGAGTGGCCAACGCGGCAATGATGGAAGCTGTTCGCGAGGCGAACCGGATAGCCGCAGCTGAGGTTCGTGAAGCGAACCGAAGGACCACTGAGGAAGTCCTCGAGGCGAACAGGATGGCGAACATGACGATGATGAGAGTCATGTTGGAGGAGATGAGAGCTGGTCCTGCTATTGGCCAGGCTCCACCACCACCGCCACCACCGCCACCGCCTCCACCTAGTGTTCAGGAGGAGAGCCATAGTCACATCGGCAGTGCTACTCATGCCGCTGAGACGGGGGAGCCCCTTGTGGGGATTGTTGAGGATCGTGATGTGATCGATCGCCGGCTGAATGCTTTCAGGAAGCATAAGCCACCTGTGTTTGAGGGGTCTCTGGATCCTATTGCTGCTGCGAGATGGCTAGAGTTGCTGGACAAGATCTTTCGGGTTATGCAGTGTACAGACCCACAGAAGCTGATGTTCTCGACCTACATGCTGGAGGGCGATGCCCATGAGTGGTGGACGCACACCTCTCATGCTTTTGAGAGGCAGGGCCGTGTCATGACGTGGCGATTCTTTGAGGAGTGCTT